CTAGATCCCCATGATAGGCATCCTTATCTTGGACACAGTATATATTGACGACAAAAGCAACACTAATGAAATGGCTCCAATATACACTTCCCTTTGTACAGGATTTTTGACAAAGATTTTTTTGCTAATACATAACTTTAACTTAAAAATAATTACAATAAACCCATGAAGTTGGAGATTTTTTTACTGAACTTTGAACTAACTCTTTAAAACAAAGCTTACTTGATATGTCCGAACTCATGGCATCTATAACAACAAACGCAGCTGCTTGATTTTCACTGAAGTTTACTTGTACATCCTGAAGTCCTTAGTTCCAGTTACTTCCGTTAAATTCCTCCATCCATGAGCAATTATCAAGCTTTGTTATTATAAGCTTGCGTAGCAGACCAACTCTCCTAATAGTTAATTCAGAATCTTCAAATGCCTTGTGAAGACTATCCCAAATTTTCTTTGGCATTTTTCGCTTGACAAATGTGGACGAATAATGAGGGATCAAGCAATAAAATCAGCTTGGATCTAGTTACAACAAGTTTCTTTTTCCTCCTTGCCTTCAACAGCATTCCACAGATCCTCCATCTGGTAGTGTGACTGCACAGCAAACTTTCAGGTATCCCAGTTCTCACGTCCTTTTAATCTCTCTATTTGAGGTAAGTTAGAAAGAGCCATTCTTGTAATTTTTAGTAAAAGATCCGTAGCCAGATTAGTTAGTAAGAACGGGCAAATAAATCTACAGAGCGGGCAGGCGAAATATTATTAATTTGCAGTGTTCTGCTGAAGGAATTCGCTTTTAGCGCAATCCACGAAAGTGGAGCGCTTATGACTTCACATATCCGTCCGTCTGCGTGTTGTTCTGTTCTATAGCTTAGTCCCTAGACCTCGTATCGACTATCAAAAATTAACTTTGGCATTCATCACGTGTTATAGCTCTAAATTGGTCAAAATTATTATGTATGCACAAATTTTGTTGGGAAAAAGATCAAACTCGATGGCTCGATGACCAAGGAATGATACATGGCTATTTTTGGTGACCAAAATTCAAAGGATGTCAAAATCGTTATTTATGCGTCGATTTTTTTGGGAAATTCAATTGCGCAATGCTCAAGAAGTGGTCCATGTGTATTTTTGTTCACAAAAAATGTCAAAATCGTTATTTATGTACCGATTTTCTTGAGAAGAAGAAATCATATCGACTTCTGGTTTTCGCTACAAGAAAGCGTGGTAAAAAAGATAATGAAATTATATAAATACAGGGTGAGTTTTTTTGCTTTGTCATCATGGGGATCTCGTAAACTGTACGGGATGCAAAGTCGCATAAATGGGAAAATTTACGCACACTTTCATGCTGATTAATTTTCCCTTTCAAAGTTTCTTGTAGCTCTACAAATCGCGAAATTCTGGCCAAAAAACGGAAAAATGTCGTTTTCGAAGGAGCGCTGGCGTTATTTAATAATAGAAAACTATTAAATCCATCTTTCAACCTAAAACATCTTCTTAATCGCCACTTAAAATGGTTGAGGTTTTTATCTCTTGTTTTGTTCATTTTTGGAAAAAACATACGCTATTGTATTCGTATGGCTGGTTGGCTGGCTGGCTGTCCGACCGAGATCTCAGCAATTACAATAGCTAGAGACTTCAAATTTCACTAAAAGCTTTCTGATGTAATGTAGATGTGCAGGCTCTAAAAAACAAAATTCAGTTTCTTTCTTTAACATTTTAATTCAAAGAAAGAATGTTCAACCCCCGTATTATACAAAAACATTGCATCTTAGGGAGCAAGATTCAATATTACCCACAGATTAGCAAAAATGTGACATAAGCATTGTTCATAAGTGATCCTCCCACACATTTAAATGATTCCGCAGACAAACAAGTTTATCTACGTCCTCTCTTTTTTTTAGCAGCAGACTCTCGTGCTCGTCCCATTACAGGTAGTTATCCACATAAAAGTGCCAAATGTAGCCGATTTCCTGATTGATCTAACACGAGCAGTAGCTAATTGTTAATTTAATCTTTTTTTTTATTATTTAGCATTTACAAACAATTCGGTTTACAAAACCAAATTAAATCCCACTCATCTGACGTCTTTCTTAAGGAATTTCAAATTGAGAACAACAAAAAAAGGTGGAGGAGGTGTATCTTTCTGCTTATTAGGTAACGTTTACTTGGAGGTAGCTGAAGTGCGAGACCTATAAAATAAAAAGCAAAATTTCGTATTCCCGTCATACAATATGGGTCGTAAATTCTTAACATGCTTTTTAAACTTTTTAAGATTTGGCACAATGATATCACAGGAAATTAACATACTTGTTCAATTTTAATGTTGCTTTTCTACCTCTACTATGTACCATTAGGAAATTCGATGTAAAATTCTTAGTATACGATTATTGGTTACTGAAGGAATTAGGTAAGAAGCTTTATAAATGTCGGTCTGCCCGTTTGTCTGTTCGGGATACTTAAAATTATATTAAAAATGTTTCACGATTTTTTTAAGGGAAACTTTTTTAATCGATTCATGTTACCTATTAGGTTTATGTTCTTCATTCTGATCTGACATTATGAAATTTAAAAAGTGTAGGTATTGAATTTTCATATAAGAAATGGTGGGAGGGTGGTTTTACAGAGGGCAAAATTCTCGTCAAGAGCTTTGTTTCTAGTAAAACCCGTCGAACCGTCAATTTCAAACTACTATTCGGTATGACACCACCCGCACTCCGAAAATTTTAAATTGCACCCACCACTTCTGATACATTATATTGGAAATCTATCAAAATCATTAAATAAATGTTGATAACAAGCATATTTTATGTCATGTAATAATTAATCATAAAGGAAACTCATGCTTTGGGAACAACGTCAATTTCAACCCTAGCCTAGATTTTGATTAAATTTGCAAAATGGAATTTTTTGATAAGTGCAAGTAACATAACCGGCATTGTTTCTTGCACATAGCGTTGGAGGTGCTTCCGGTTTGGTTCCCGCTCCACGCTATAAAACGGTTTTGGAAATGGTTCAATATCTCTAAAAGAAAAACTATAAAAAGCAAAATACAGCCTAATGTCATTCTGTATTGAGAAGTTGTAATAATATGTGCAAAGATGAAATTGACAATGCGATCAATAGAAGAAAATAAAATAAAGGGAATACTTTAAGATATCGGTTTGTGCAACTGACATTTGTTCTTCATTAGACGTGAGCAACACAAATTAATTAGAACAAGAATCAAGTAACACATTTGACCTCCTTTTTTATAGAATCCCATTTAACAGGAAGTTCATTTAGGATTTGCTGGTGTTGCCCAGATCGAACCAAGGCATTTACTGACATCTGATGGTTGTTCTCGGCGAAGGGGATTCCCCGGTTACATAAGTAAAAGGTGACCTTGTTTTATGGTGCGAAGTCGCACTCTGAGATTTCCCCGGCTAAAAAGTCATGGCCTTTGTGAAGGTATTTCTCGTCAGGATAAATTCTATAGAAGTTGCTGAAGGATTAGCTTAATTACGATACATCGTATCTCAAATTTTATCAAAATTACTCTTAAAAAATGACAAATTATTCATTTCAAATTTTACAAAGAAGAAAAATCAGTTCTGTACTTACATAATATAAAGTTCATAAAAAGTACTCACCCGCGAAAGGATGCACAGACAATAGTGTCACTATAATCGCGTAAAGTTTTAAAAAACGATGAGAGATTGAATATTGATCTGAATAATTATTATCATGGTTCTCTAAGACCGTGCAGCTATTTTAGTAAAGTAGCTCAGTGGTTCTCAACCTTTTAGATACTGTGGGCCCATTTTTAAGTTCAGTATTTTGCCGACCCCCCAATGAATTATAATTTTTTTAAATACAAAATAAAAACGTTTTCAATAGTGGTAATTTTTAAATCGTAACAACCACGTTTAACTTATTATTTATTTTATTTATTTATTTTTGCCTTAATTTTTAAGTGGGTGGGGTTTCAGTGAAGGCTGCTCTACAAACCAATTTACAAATATCCATACCCCAACCCGGATTCGAACCAGGGACCCTTAGTATCTCAGCCGAGCTTCAACTCATCTGCGCCACACGGGCCGGCTTATTATTTATTAATAAAAATTATTTAATAGCAGATGTTAAATTGACATGTTAATAGGTTTGAATGAGAAGGCTGAGTCGCTCTTTAACCACGATGGTAGATAAAGTGATCGCTTTAACTGCAAGGGTAGATAAAGTGAAACAGAGGATTATGCATTTTAATGGCATCTATCATTCTTATTTCAAATGGGACGCGGAGCACGATATAAAATGACGTTCAGAACATATGGCAAAGCTGTTTCTATGGAAACAACCGCGGCGGCAGAACCTAAGCTTGCTATTTTTGACGTCTAAATTCTCTTTTGCGAAACTTGAATTAACATCTTTCACTTAATGGTTAAAATATCCCTTTATCGTTTTACATAATAAATAACTATTATTACACAATACACATCATATGAGATAAGACATCCGGAATCTATTAACCAACAAAGCTCCATGGAATTGTCATGACACAGAAAAAATGGACGATTAGTATTTCCACCATGATTTTAAGATACAATCTCACTAGTTAACTAATTCTGTGGATTCATCAGCTCTGTAAATGCTGACAACCTGTAAATTTTCTATGATATGTAATGTCCAAATTACTCTACCTTTAAAACCTCAGAAGTTCTTGCTTCACAATAAAATTTCGAAAAAATGAATTAAAAATTTACAGCTACCGTTCCAGCGCAAACCCTGGCGCAAACTGTACCATGAACTGACTGTTTTTCTTTCCCTTGTCGAATCGGCTAAGGAACCTGACTACTTCAAACGGAGGGTGGCACTGTTCCATAATAAAAGGTTTTAGATGAATTTTGGTGTTGCATCGGCAATGCGGTTTTCGTTTTTTTAATCACCGGTAGCAAATTCCGTTCTTAAGGGTTTTGCTTTTTCACTGCTTTGAACTGGCCCTCCGGAGAAATTTATTTATTGGAACGTAAGAAAACAGTGTATAATTATATTCTCAAAATACAGGCGTATAACAAATTATGTAACAATGTTCAGTCCACCTTTTCCCTCTCTTCTTCCCGAAGACGGTTCCACTTAATATAAATAAGAATTAAATTAATAAGATTGATTACATAAATTGTTACGCAAACCAAACAGAGATCTTTCAGTACAAAGATTAATATGGAAGCAAAATACACCGAGGAGCAGTTCGATAGAATAGTCGCTCCTAGTGCTATAGTCGTTGTCAACGTTGAATCTGAGAATGCTGCAAGTGAGAAACTAAGTTACGGTGAGACAATGCAAAGGAACATATTTACCCACTGTCGCCATAAAGCTGTAGAATAATATACCGTACAGGCTATTTGGTACATTGAAAACGGAATCCTCGCCCACCACTCGACCAAGTATTCCGAATCCTTTACCATATCTGAAATAAGAACGGACATCAGATTATTCTCTAACATTTATCCAGATTTTTGAAATAATTAGGTTCCAGCTTCAGGCCTTTCAACCCAGAACTCAAAATTCCCTTTCCACCCAAATTTAAACAACCGTCATGGTCTTGTGCTTTCCAAAGATACAAAGCTGCCAAAATAGGCAATGAAGTAGTACACTTTTTCATAGTTTTCAACCTTGGGACTATACGCTTGATCAAAAATGCGTCCTTGTTCTAGTCAAAACAAATTAATGCAACATGCTGATTAGTGTTTATCACTCGGTTTATCACTAGTACGCTGCTTTCGTTTAATTGTCACATGACATTCCTATACCGAACTGCCCCATTGAATTTAATTGAGACTTACTCGGATTTAAATGCCTTGGTACAGCTCATGTGCTCGCTAAAATCGCAACTGGCCACATAATTTTCATCCTGTTCCACCGAAAGTTCGACCATATACGAATAAAAGGACAATCCCAAACCGCACAGGCTAACGAAAGTCAAAACGTTGTTTAGCCCCGACATTGGGAAATGCTCCAGATTGTTGCAGCGGACTATAGGCGTTTGTTGTGGCGTTCCCGCATGTTTACTAAAATATGTGAGTGATAAATCAATATTTGTCGACGTGAACAGTTTGAACGTCAATAGGAGGGAGTTTGTGGGATTCACCGCCACCTTGTGGAGCGTATATACACAATTTATGAACTTTGAAACCCTAAAATGCCTACCGATTAGAAATTTTAGTAGAGAATCCCAATAATGCACTAGGAAATTTATTTATTTTAACCCAAGTCTCACAAAAGAGAAATAAATCACGATCTAAGACAATTTTTTTTCGGGGCTCAAAAAAAGGCAGTGTATAACCTTCCTTTTTTACCAAAAATCGACTGCACCAAAATTTCTCGGAAAAACACTTTTTCTTATTAATTTTGGTGCGTAGAATCCAAATCAATTCGTACTTTTTCGATCAGACTTCTGAATCAAAAGTTATAGACTAGAAACCAATTTCGAAAAAAAATTCAAAGGGCTGTCACTTTTGAACTAGTAGCCCAATCTTGGAACTGTTTGAAATTATGGATTCTACAGGCCACATTCTATAAGAAAAAATTTTTGCCGGGTCGATCTGAGACAATTTTTTCTTCGGGGCTCAAAAAAAGGCAGTGTATAACCTTCCATTTTTACCAAAAATCGACTACACCAAAATTTCTCGGGAAAACACTTTTTCTTATTAATTTTGGTGCGTAGAATCCAAAACAATTCGTACTTTTTCGATCAGACTTCTCAATCAAAAGTTATAGACTAGAAACCAATTTCGAAAGAAAATTCAAAGGGCTGTAACTTTTGAACTAGTAGCCCAATCTTGGAACTGTTTGAAATTATGGATTCTACAGGCCACATTCTATAAGAAAATTTTTTTCCGGGTCGATCTGAGACAATTTTTTTTCGGGCCTCAAAAAAAGGCAGTGTATAACCTTCCTTTTTTACCAAAAATCGACTGCACCAAAATTTCTCGGGAAAACACTTTTTCTTATTAATTTTGGTGCGTAGAATCCAAAACAATTCGTACTTTTTCGATCAGACTTCTCAATCAAAAGTTATAGACTAGAAACCAATTTCGAAAGAAAATTCAAAGGGCTGTAACTTTTGAACTAGTAGCCCAATCTTGGAACTGTTTGAAATTATGGATTCTACAGGCCACATTCTATAAGAAAATTTTTTTTCCGGGTCGATCTGAGACAATTTTTTTTTCGGGGCTCAAAAAAAGGCAGTGTATAACCTTCCTTTTTTACCAAAAATCGACTACACCAAAATTTCTCGGGAAAACACTTTTTCTTATTAATTTTGGTGCGTAGAATCCAAAACAATTCGTACTTTTTCGATCAGACTTCTCAATCAAAAGTTATAGACTAGAAACCAATTTCGAAAGAAAATTCAAAGGGCTGTAACTTTTGAACTAGTAGCCCAATCTTGGAACTGTTTGAAATTATGGATTCTACAGGCCACATTCTATAAGAAAATTTTTTTTCCGGGTCGATCTGAGACAATTTTTTTTTCGGGGCTCAAAAAAAGGCAGTGTATAACCTTCCTTTTTTACCAAAAATCGACTGCACCAAAATTTCTCGGGAAAACACTTTTTCTTATTAATTTTGGTGCGTAGAATCCAAAACAATTCGTACTTTTTCGATCAGGCTTCTCAATCAATAGTTATGGACTAGAAACCAATTTCAAAAGAAAATTCAAAGGGCTGTTTTGTATGTGTATGCCTTAGTGGATTAGCAGGATATACACTGATTTATAGGCAACCTGCGGCCTGCCTTACAGCCATCCAAAAAGCCGTTATGTTTTTATATATATAGAACATGAAATTTCAAGCCGAAATTTCTAGGAGAAATGTTGGATAAACAAGTTAATTTCTTTAAATAGTGGTTCACGTAGTGACCTCTGTACAAATAAATCTTAACTAGAACATGGTAACAGTAGTAACGATCTTTGAGTGTAGTTTCCTGTACCTAATAGTAGCATAAAAGTACATAATTCCATTTTTTAACGTTAGATATCAGAGCAATTCAAATTATATATAATTATTTTATATTCAAAGATTTAGATAAATATATAATTTAGAATAAGATAGGTACAGCTGCAGAGTCTTTTTCGTTTATTGTCACAGGGGGTTTCGTTTGTAAAGACCCCTTTTGCACTATAATATCTGTGATGAGCCTGTTGAACTTTATTATAAATGATTTTAATAAGCCAATGGGTATCACTATTGTAGATTCTCTTCTTCTCTTCTCCGTTTCAAAATGGGTGTTAAATTAGATTTTGATTGAGTCACAAAATCGCTTTCCTTCCATGCGACTTACAGAGCAAGCGATATTGTACAGTGCCTGTGGATCTAGGCCGCTAGCGATACATTTCTTAAAAAGAGATTATTAATGTCCTAGCCTAGCCGAGTAAGGTCAGCAGAACACAATCAAACATAATGCATAATTAGGTGCTAATTAAGTGCCCTATTCCCGAATGAAATGCTCATTTTTTTTTTTAATTATTACATGTTCTGCCAGGTTCATACGAACTCAACAGAGCACTCCTCAAAAAAACCAAGAAAATGAAGAGTGAACTAACTACAATTAGGTGTAATTGATTATTTATTACATTGACTTTAATTAGATGCAATTCATCCATTCAGTCTTTGAGGATCCCCAAGTCATCTTTAATAAGAGATGAAACCTATTCAACGCAACTTCTTTCGACCCTTTATATAGGGGAGAGCATTACAATAGTGGTGTGTAGCTGGAACATATGGCCAACATTCATGAGGGTCGAAACCCCTTTAGGTGAAGTCTCGTAATGTTGGCTGCCTACCGGCAAGCAAAATAAATCAATTTAATTTGCTAACAAATTACACTTCATGCAAAATAGTTTAAACAAATTATGTCTATTAGTTTCTGAATTTGTATATTAGTTGAGATCTCATAATTTGTCGAAATTCAGTGTTGCTGCCAGCTTTTTTAATGAGACGTTGACATACGGCTACAAATCACTATGTATTATTCGAGGTATTATTTATAAAATGCGTTCACTCATAATTCAGTTTGAATTTGCGCTTAGTCACTTTTACAATTTTTGGCTAAGAATAAGTTTAGGATCTATTTTTACCTATGGCCTGATTTCTCTCTTTATCCGCATCGCTGAAATAATTAGGAAATATAAAAATGAAGAGCATGCAGTCAATAAAGCTCAAATATTCCTTGAGTTGTTTTATGTAGGTACTGCTGCATGTATATAAGTTTAAGTAATGTAAATAATATCGAAAGACGATTGTTGCTAAAACATATTTTTTCTTTTTTCTTTGGGCTATCGATTTCGACATTATGTCATCATCAGGCCTTAGCTGGATGCTATGTATTCTAGCTAAGGCCTGATAGCTAAGGCCTGATAATGACATAATGTCGAAATCGATAGCCCAAAGAAAAAATAAAAAGTATAAGTTTTAGCAACAATCGTCTTTCCATATTATTGACATTCTTTGAGTTATTGTGCAGACTGGTTTCTCGCATAGCGATTGAAGTACCATGATAGTATGAAGAAATCCTGGAATTAAATTTGTGCTGATCTCCTTGTCGTGTTGACCCAATAAAACATACCAAATGAGACTACCTACTACGAGTCTTTGGAACCTTAGCTTCAGCAAGCCAAAGAATTTGTTTATAATTGCAACTGGTTATTTCTGGTGATCCTAGATCACTCTCACATTGGTCAGAAAATCTGGTTTGCCATTCAGCAGGAAAATGCAGCGTGTGCTTTAAGATATCACGTGTGCGTTAACTAATTTTTTTTTAAATACGTGCCCTGTTTCTCCCTATGGAATTGTACATTTCAGGAGATTTTTATTTATTCTGGAAAGACAACCCACAAAAAGCTATGAGGAAGTAACAACAGTATTGCGTTTTGTGTCACTGTAGCCGAAAATCTAATTATTTCCCTAAATCACGGAATATCTGTGTAATTACCGAAAAGGAGTTTTGATTGTTTACAACGGTATTGAGTTATTGTGCCTTTAGACTTTTTGATGATTTTTTATAAAGTAGATGCTGGCAATATTTGCTGCTACTTTATAATCCAAGAAAACATTGACAAGGGACAAGCATAAACTTCCTCAGATTCAGATTTTCCTTTTTAAATGCTCTTCACTCATTCCGCATGAATCCTTCACGGAATTTTCACATATCCTGTACAGTTTCGCTACAAGAGTCTTTTGGGTATTCAAAAAGGATTCTTTAAGTATTGATTGTGGGATATTTTTTGGGATATTTGATTCATTGTTCCGAACTGCTTTTTAATAATTTTTGAAAAGATTAAATATCTTTGAATTATTTTATTCTGCCGAAAAATTTTTGTAGATTTTTATCATATTTTATTCTGCAGGGCATCTTGACCGTGCCTTTCCTTTGCTATACAGGGAAGTGTGCTGTATTGTGAAATTAGAACGGCTACTAGCTAGAAACTGCTTTAGAGATTCTCGTAGTCTGTCTTAACTAGATACCTACTATTTTTAACAAACTATGCAAAAGAGAAAAGTCGTTGAGGAAATAAGTGATTCGTCGCTCTGTCTTTATGTTTACTGAGGAGAAATTTCGTACGTGTTGATCTGATCTTTTTTTATTTGAGGTTCAAGTACACCGTTCCACCCCATGTCTCTACCTTCACCCTTCTTTCGATACCGATAACCATGGTTTGCCACCAAACCTATACATGAGTTCCAAAATGACGTAAAAATCAGAAATATTACCCATTTCGGAAAAGTGGCAATCAAATGCCGCATGTAACTTTATGTTTGATAAGGAATGGCGTGGGTCGAAGGGAAAATCACATATAAAGCTTTGTCTATTGAGTAGGTATGTAAATCCACGGAGATCATCAGACATCTTTTAATATCCTTGGACATCCATGGGATACCAGGAACTTCTAGAGAATATCTGATATTTTTTTGGAAATTCACCGATACATTCGGAAAGCTGAGGCTATATCCATCGGTAATGCCAGAAATTGTCAAATGGAAAATTCTTATTCAATATATTTCGCTGAACCATCAAAAATTTACTGCAATAAATAATGAATAATAAAATCAATGATTCAAATCTTGTGGGGTACGCAAAGAAGTCATTATAGTGTGTGTTAATGCCAGAAAAATGGATCTTGCTCTCTTTCTTGTTACATTGCTGGTAAAAACCTCGTCGCGAATATTGGGAAGCGGTTTATAAATAGTAACGTGGCAACCTAATTTGAAAAAAACGTGCAAAAAGGAAAGAAGATAAAAATGTAATCTAATGTAAAATTCAAAACTTCAATATTTTTAAAAAACGAATTAGGCAAATTGCACGGTTGCCATATTCATTAGTTCAAGGATTACCTATTTTTCAAAATAATAACACAAGGGATAGGAGTTACTTATAATCAAAGTTTACATTAGATAGGTAAGTACCCTCTTTACATTTTCCCTATATTACCCGATTTTCTATATTTGTAAAAATGAGTAATCTAATTGAGCCATATTTTTGAAATTGCCACTGTGCTATTTGAGCAAGACCAATACGCTCAAACACAATGAATGTTTCTTGGAAAAAATCGGTGGATTAACTAAAAATCCTTTCCAAATATTTCCGGATATAAAAAAGATGACAATTATCTCAAAAAAGGGGGTCAGTAGAAAGGACTAAAAGAAGCATTTTTTCCAAATAAGTAATCCGAAATTCCAAATATCTAAAATATTCGGTGTAGATCTCAAAATTTGCGTTTCTTCTCTAATTTATTTCCCAAAAACTATAACAGTTTTACCTAGGTTAATGGGTACCTATGCGTGTCCTTTTCGCAAAAACTTGGGGTAGGAATTTTTGGAAAAATTCAGCAAAATCAGAAAGATAATGTTGAGGTCCATCTTGATCTTGAGTTTATTCACAAAATGGGGTTAAACGCTAATGGAGATCCGAAACACAACCATTCCCCATGAAAATATTTAATTGTACAATTTAAATTAAAGGTGTTTACAGCGTACAACGCTACTAGTTTCGGCAAAAAACAATGCATCATCAGGCTACAACAGAGTACATTAATTATAAAAACCAATACCTAATAGAACAAATTACCTAGCGTTACAATGAACGTGAAGTTTAAAGTTGCAAAATTGTTTAAAAAAGTGTCAGAACCGAAACCGTTATTTGCAATAGGTCCAGATCCCTGAAATAAATCATAATTTTTGGAATACCCCGCAGGACTCCGGTTATACATTTTTCCCCAAACCCTTCATTTTTGCCAAAAATTGTTTGGAATGGAGCCATAAAATGCAACATAAGAAGTTCATCAAGAAAGAAACATTCTGTAGTCCCTTATGCTAAACTACCACAACAGTTCTTGGCTAGGTTCGTGGGGCTGATTGTGCTGAGGAACAATGTAGCATCCAACCAACCCCCAAGTATAGGTAGAAAGTCCCTCGCAAAGTCCTTATGACGGTTATAACCTTTTGTGGTTTTTTTCCCGACAACTATCACAAGTTCTTCGTATAAAAGGGCGCATGGAATACATAAAATCTAACACCAGGACCTCGTGGAGTATTGAATAATCGTCAGGAAAGGAATGTAAACCCGTAAACTACCAAAATAGTTCTTGGGGCCGAATGTGCAGAGGATTAATGTAGCATCAGGGGGTCTGAGGGATATGGAATAACCCCCAGTATACGAAACCCTTATGATAGTTATAGGGCAAGAGAACATTGAATCGAATACCCTCCACGGAAGAACGTTTTAATGTTCTTTTCTTTTCCCTACAACTGTCACAAGATCTTCGTATACTTCTTTGTCGAAAAGATGTTAAAAATCTGAGGCGGTTAGATTCCTCAGTGGCCACAGTTTGTATTTTGGGTTAGCTAGGGACCTGACATATTCACCCAACTCCTTGGATACTCACGGGAACCACACGCGCCGTTGCATATCTTTGTAAAGCTCGGATATCCTGCGGATACTGGGATTTTCCCCTTGGTGAGGGTGGCAAGTTTGGTAGACTAAAGAGTAAAGTACCTATGGTTAATGCTTCCACGGGATCAGGTGGAAAATAATTATGTTCCAATAAGCGCATTTTTACCAACTTTCTTACCCCAAAAAGTAACTTTTCTTGAACGTACTTTAGCATATTCAAAGAGCGTATAAAATGGTTATCTAGTTTTGTTTCTAATGGTCTAGGGGTCGTTCGTAGTAGTTCTAAATTTAGCTTACATCAAGGGAGGTGATCAAAAATACATGCAAAACCCTCGTCTTATTGGGGCACTCTTAAAGGCATTAAGTAAAAGGGGCGAGAGGACTTAAATTCTTTAACCTCCGGGGCCGGTGGAGGCTTTCGCCGGTGACGCTCCACCTGGTGCAGGTACGAAATTCCGCAAAAATAAATTAACTCGCAAACAGATAATTTATTATGGGCCATTTCCGTTTATAAATAACAGCCTTCGATGTCAGCGGGGAGCAGGAGGATGGCGCATTAATTTTGTCGCGCGTAACATGGGACCTGGACGTGAAATTGGCGGGAATCCAAGTCGCGTTCGGGCTTTCGCCACCGGCGCGAGGGGTGAATAAATAGGAAGTACGTCCGTACGGAGCCTTAGAATGCATTTTCGTTGGGGGACTTTGTCGGAAAGTTGGTGCTAGTGTTGATAATGAGATGTGCATTGGTGGTGAAGGCCTGCGCGTGCGTCACAACCATCTTACATGGTATTGACTGGCCGTGTAGTGTGAGATTGTAAATATTGTTATTGTCGTGTGTTGTGACTTAGTGATCGAATTTAATTAATGGTGGTGTGAGTGGATGGTGTCGTGGTGTGTGTTAAGCGATGTGAAAGCGACCGGGACCGGTGGACACGGCTACGGCGACGATGCTCTCCTCGCGATGCGGTGGACCGTCCGCCATTCGTGCTCCAGGTGCCTGTGTTGCTTGTAAATATTGCGACGACCCTTCGCGGGGGCCGCTTAATACTCTAGAGCATTGTCAGTATAGAAGCTGTAATGTTCGAATGGGGCCTGGTCGTGGACCCCGTGCGATTGTGAACGGTGATGTGGCATAAGCCATGGACGCGGAGGTGAAACAACGTAACCGGCGGAGGAAACGGGCCCAGCGTATGCAGCAGGCGGCCCAGAGGGAAAGCAAAGTCGCCCCGAAGGACGGGGACAGTGGCGAGGAGGACAGCGAGTGCACGGTGCGACGGGAGAAGCCCTTGCGGCCACCCATTCGACGTAAAAAGTCAAAGGAACCCCTCGTCGAAGAGGACATCATCGACGGCTTCTCGATACTTGGATTTCGTTCCTATGACGATCTCGAGGTGAGTACTAAACGTAATGGACTTCGCCACCCTCTTTTACTGGCCATAACAAAGGCGGCGCGTACCATTTTCATTCTACTGCCGTCGCCCTCATCGCCACCGACCACTTTATGGTTATTGCTTTCGTCTAACGACGTTTTAATGTATTCGAATAAGAAATATTGCGAACAAAGGCAACTTTCAAGAACCCAAAGTGACGGGTGGCGGCGGAATACCCAATACTAGACGTCCAGGCAGCTGCTTCCTTCATTTGAGAACGTTTGTTTTAACCCCTTTTACAAAATCAGCATTCGCAAATTACTCGATCTTCCGAGTCGGTAATTTGCATGCTAATTATTTGACTTTGAACGTCCACGTACAGCATAAAGAAAACAGGTAACGTAATTTTAAAATTTTGTTATGTAACAGCGTGCCACTTCAATTTGCTCCCCTACACGAAGTGGTCTGTGTGAAAAAAGGGGGCCGCTTATAATAGTTGTACGGGCAAGTTTCTTTTACTACCCGAAATTAGAGCGACATTTCCCATTGAAAACGCTGCAAAGCGATCCTCCCCAAAATTGTAGAAAATTCAAACAAAGAACGGTTTTTAAATGAGCAATTTTTGAATGTTAACAAAGCCGTCCAGGTATACGTCGTAAAGCGAGCGTTTTGTTGTAATTCCGCCAAAGGCTCAGGTTTATCGTTTATTCGGGCGTCCTCCAACAATTCGCCACTAAGAAACCCAATTAGAGGTAAGTGCTTGCGAAGTTAAAACACACAAATTGAAACATTGAAGTTAACCCTCGTTAAGGCAGCGTTTGTATCGCCGCCGGCGAAATCCGTTGCGGAAAACGTGTCCGAATTTGTAATTTTGTTGCACCCAGTGCGATTAAATTACTGCGGGTGCAAAATCGAGCATTTCAGTGTACTCGCAAGGGGTGCTTTGATAAATTGAAAAATAACACAATATTAGGTACCTACTTCATTTTCCACTTCATTGTAATAAACTGATACGATAACACTGTTAGTGTTTATCCAATTTTGCTCGCAATTTTGTAAAGTCGTTTGGCCACATTTTTGCATTGGAGCTCGATTTGGAAGCTCAACTGTTTGTTTTAGAATGGCTGGACGAATCGGTTCAATAGTCTAAAGCAGACAATTCATAGAATATCGAAAATTCAGCAAACATCCAGACAAAAGCGAACCCAGGAGAAAACCGCTAATCCACTTTCACGTTCTTCTCAGCAGGTATCCCTAATATGGTTTGTGAGAATCCTCAAGAATTACAAATAATCTCCATTACTTTACTTGTAACTATACTTGTAACGAGACTTGTAACTTTGTAAATGTCTTTAATTCCAAGTTTTTTTTATTGAAAAGGCTCCTCGACTGAATTTGTTCTGCCAATACGGCTCACTTGTCAACCTTTCTTCTTCATAGCAAGTTCTGCATTATTAGAAATGAGATCTGAGTACAGATTTCGTCGAAATGTAGAAATCTTGGAATTATTTGGCTACTTCTGTTACCTTTTTGCGTCCAACTTCTATGATGTTTTGTAGGTCCGATGGTATCAAGTTAGATTTCCAGAAATTTGTGAAATGCTGAATAGAATCACTTTTTCTCAAGATTCAAAAAACTCAGGTCTAGGAAGCTTAATAAATAACATAAAATCATTGACGGGGCTTTAATGAAACTGCCGAAGTTGAGACACCTTGTATTACAACCTGGATTACAACATTTCTAAGACTAAGTACTCGTTCGTATAATAATACTAATTACTAATTATTACTACGAGTATTGCCACTTGCATCAAATACGTACCTATTTTTGTTGTATTTTTTTGTTTACAGAATCTACAAGTTAGGCTACTTACAGCTGTCTGTAAAAGTACCTATAGCCCCTCACCCTCGCTCTCCCCCTTTAAAATTACGATTTTTTAAAATAAAAGTCATATGACAAGACAATCATCAATGTCCAGGGTAGTATAACTTTTGTGGTACATTCAATATTTTTGCTTCGTGTATTGATTTAGTTTACATGCTCGTTTACATGGTTCACAAACTACCCCATAACAGTAAATAAAACTCGAGAGGCAAATAACTCCTTAAATATGGTGTACACCTGCAATTTTTAATTACTTGATTACCTTTTCAATACTTCAATTACGTTTTGAGTATGTTTTGAGCTCGGTTTTGAGTCTTTTCATTACCTTCAAATACATTTCCAGTACTTTGATTACATTGTGAATATTTTCATTATCTTTTCAATATTTTAATTCCTTTTTCAATCTTTCAATTACAATTTCAAATACTTTCATTACTTGTTGAGTATTTTGATTACATGTTTGATAATGGTAAGGTCAAGTTGTTGACCCGTCATGTTGGCTTGCGTACTGAAATACTTAGTGAACAAGCTCAAAAACCGCGTGCGCATCAGTTTCGCAGGGAAATATCTCCCTTATTAGCAGTTGTTTTAAGTTACTTATTGTGAACTCCTTAGTCGTTTACAATACAGTATTTAAGAGTGTCGGTCCGTTTGTACTCTCATTTACGGCTGAACCGATTAGAACCAAATTTGGTACACAAATTTTTAGACAAAAAAGGAAGAGCTTAAAAATCTTTGGATAGAACGCGCAGGTGTACGGATGGTATCTGTGCCAGCCACGGCAATTTTTTTCTGAATCATGTTACTCTTAATACATAAGGTATGGGTAAAATCAGTAGTAGGCTCTGGTAAAATCCTTTCGCTTAATCTCAGCTGAAATTTGTTTCTTTTACTTCCACTATCCCTCCCATGCAGAACAACGAGCGAAAGTGTGACAGCGTCGCAAAAAAACAAAAGGATTGCTACAGAAAGATTAAACAATTGGATGTAAAAAAATTATGCTCCCAAGGTCACACCTCGACGCCAGTCAGCCTGTGCCGCCCATTCATAAATAGCAAACGCGTTTTCCCTTCGGAAAAATCCGCAGCATTTTTGTACAACTTTGTTTTTCCAAAAAAATTGAAAAAAGTGGGGAAGGGTCAATTTTCGCATGCAGGCGGACGCGTCTACCGTTTAAAAAAATTCATCCCCGCCCGGCCGATCAGTGACTGCAGTTCGTAATGCTTTTTCTCTGCATTGACAATAACAAATTTGGCAAAATCCAGAGAGCCTGTAGTTTGTTCACTTTGTTTCAAGAAAGTGATTTTAAAAAACTCAGAACTGATTTTGCTAGGCACCATTCTGGCGTACCTACTTGGAGAAAGTTTGAGGACATTATTGTTGAAACCTTAAAAACATTCTGCCTCTCATTCTGCTTTGGGGGTTCCACCAACAGAATCCAAAACAATTCGTACTTTTTCGATCAGACTTCTCAATCAAAAGTTATAGACTAGAAACCAATTTCGAAAGAAAATTCAAAAGGCTGTAACTTTTGAACTAGTAGCCCAATCTTGGAACTGTTTGAAATTATGGATTCTACAGGCCCCATTCTATAAGAAATTTTTTTTCCGGGTCGATCTGAGACAATTTTTTTTTCGGGGCTCAAAAAAAGGCAGTGTATAACCTTCCTTTTTTTTACCAAAAATCGACTACACCAAAATTTCTCGGGAAAACACTTTTTCTTATTAATTTTTGTGCGTAGAATCCAAAACAATTCGTACTTTTTCGATCAGACTTCTCAATCAAAAGTTATAGACTAGAAACCAATTTTGAAAAAAAATTCAAAGGGCTGTAACTTTTGAAATAGTAGCCCAATCTTGGAACTGTTTGAAATGATGGATTCTACAGGCCACATTCTATAAGAAATTTTTTTTCCGGGTCGATCTGAGACAATTTTTTTTTCGGGTCTTAAAAAAAAGGCAGTGTATAACCTTCCTTTTTTACCAAAAATCGACTGCACCAAAATTTCTCGGGAAAACACTTTTTCTTATTAATTTCGGTGCGTAGAATCCAAAACAATTCGTACTTTTTCGATCAGACTTTTCAATCAAAAGTAAATAGACTAGAAACCAATTTCGAAAGAAAATTCAAAGGGCTGTAACTTTTGAACTAGTAGCCCAATCTTGGAACTGTTTGAAATTATGGATTCTACAGGTCACATTCTATAAGAAAATTTTTTTCCGGGTCGATCTGAGCCAATTTTTTTTTCTGGGCTCAAAAAAAGGCAGTGTATAACCTTCCTTTTGTACCAAAAATCGACTGCACCAAAATTTCTCGGGAAAACACTTTTTCTTATTAATTTTGGTGCGTAGAATCCAAAACAATTCGTACTTTTTCGATCAGACTTTTCATTCAAAAGTTATAGACTAGAAACTAATTTCGAAAGAAAATTCAAAGGGCTGTAACTTTTGAACTAGTAGCCCAATCGTGGAACTGTCTGAAATTATGGATTCTACAGGCCACATCTCGGGCCACATTCTATAAGAAATTTTTTTTCCGGGTCGATCTGAGCCAATTTTTTTTTCGGGGCTCAAAAAAAGGCAGTGTATAAACCTTCCTTTTTTACCAAAAATCGACTGCACCAAAATTTCTCAGGAAAACACTTTTTCTTATTAATTTTGGTGCGTAGAAACTACCATACAATACTCGATAAACTATACCTACTTGGATTTTTTTAGTAGGAAGATACTAATGCTATTAGCATTTTCCAAAGGGCCCACTGAGTGTGACAGTTCAAAGTGATACTTTGAACTCGTTCACAATGGATATGCCTAACCAATTATAGTACAATATGGTATAATAGTCCTCCACTTGAATTGAAAGTTGGCATCCTTTCCAGTGAAACGAGAAGTGGATAGCGAAAAGGAATGATTCAAAAAGTGACGTTTATCAAATATATAGAGTATCTCCAAATACTTCTTAATTACTTCAAATATATTCAAGTACATCTCAATTACTTAAATTACTACTTTCGAGTATTTTAATTATCTATGATTATTTATTAAATATTTTGATTCTATTGAAAATGTTCTGATTACTTATTAAATGCTTGATTACTTTTCAAATATTTTAAGTCCTACAAAGACACGTTAATTACT